GATTATGAGTTATCTACAATCATAAATTTGAGATTGATTTGATTTATTAATGGCCCGAAAGTTGGGGCATTACACGAAAAACCCCTCTTTTGATTTTTCTATTCAAAACCCTAGATTTGTTCCAAATCTTCCAAATCCGCAATATAGTTTAAAAACAACAAATAACTAAGTTAAAACTCATAAAAAGTGTGAAAAAGTATCCCTACCTCAAGCTAGAGCATGAGTGTGTGTGTGTGTGTGTGAGAGAGAGAGAGAGAGAGAGAGAGAGAGATATGAAAACCCAAAGGTACTAAAAACTAACTTTGTTCCGGTTAGAACGAAGCCCTAGCCAAGCTCTATCTTTTTAACAAAGACACATGGATGAAAAGATCGATGGATCTAGGTGTATTCGAGGTAAACAGATGGGTTTTACAAAGAGAGTGAGAAAAAATAGGGTTTGGAAAAGTTTAGAGAGAGAGTGATATGAAAAAGTGATGTAAAAAGGTGATTTTTACGGATTGATGTATGCACAGTCCACTTGAGCACAAGAAATGAAGCTCGAGCGTTCAGTCACAAAAAATGATTACAGTTCGAACACAAGAAGTGATGCTCGAGCGTAGAATACACACTTCCAGTAGTTTTGTAGACAGATGACCATCGTTCGAGCGCCATAATGGTCGTTTGAGCATATGAAACACCGCTCAAGCGTAGAATACACTCTTCCAGTAGTTTTGCAGGCTTGCAAAAGTACTAAGAGTTCACAAGGCTCACTCGAGTGCAAAAAGTGATGCTCAAGTGGAGGAATAAAATTTTGGGCAACAAAAGTTTTGGAAACTAAGCGACCAATCTGTTCCAAAAGCAACCAATACAACCCAATAGCCAAACTCAAGGGGAAAAAGAGGAATAATACAAGAACAACAATACAGAACCATGAAACTCGAGTCTGGAATACAAAATGGATCGGGTCCTAAACCAGAATCGTTATATATTAGAAATATTGAATGAAAACGAAACAAGGTCCAAGGAAAATTTTAGATTGAAACTAAATGTATTTATTAGTTTGTGCGAGGCAATTAAGGTATATGGTAAACTGGAACACTCACGTTATCTAACTGTCTAAGAGTAAGTTTGTATATTTTTGCTAACAATTGGTTAGAACGAACGTAATCGTGTTGTCCAAGAGCGATTCCAACATTCTGGCCATTCTATCTCCAAATACTTCAATCGAGTCTTGAAGGCAGTGTGTAGGCTTGGTAAACAAGTTATAAGGCCTCCAAATTTTGATAAGGTGCTTGTAGAAATCCGACATAATCCACGATTCTACCATTTTTTTTAAGATAATCACTTATAGAATATTTGAAGAATAATTTTTAGTAAAATATCCTGCATTATTAAAGTCATTTGTCAAATAGGATTGTGTTGGAGCAATTAATGGTACCCACATATTTGCAAGGGTGCCAGCATCAAAGCAAATACCATATTGGGTAAACATAGTGTTACAACACAAAATGTAAAGTGTGTTTTCTCATTTGACATGCGATTTATGTATGTATTGGCCAGTTGGAAGGGCACCACAAATGATTCAAGAGTGTTCATTGAATTCATACATGATCCAACAAATTTATTTCCAATTCCAGCAAGAGGTACGCATTATGACATTTTGTTAATTTATAATTAATATTCTTCTGCCAACCCATAATAATCGATACATACATGTTGAACAGATAAATATTATGTTGTTGATTCGAGTTATACAAATATGCTTGGCTTTTTATTGCCATACCGTGGTGAGAGGTACTATGTAAATGAGTTTCGTACTCAACGTCGACAACCAAGAAACATGGAGCAAATGTTCAAATATCGACACTCTTCACTGTGAAATGTGATTGAGAGATACTTCAGTGTCTTGAAGGCTCGTTTTTCAATTTTGAGAGACATGCCTCCGTATTCAACTAAGACACAAAGGTACATTCCCATTACATGTTATAGAATACACAACTAGATTAGGATGCATTCTTAAGGTGACACACTGTTCACTGAATGGACCAATCCAAATCGTATTGTTGAAGATGTTGGGCCTAGTAGAGGTGGTAGTAGCAGCTCGAGACATGCAAAAAACAATTCTCAGCAACCGATTGATGTAGGCATTTGTCAACCTCAACTACGTCACATGTCTGATGTAAGGAATCAAATTGCTAGCTAAATTTGGGAATCTATCAGAAACAATTGATATATTGTTTATGCTTATAATAGATTGTGGAAGATGTTTTTTATGATTTGTGAAAGAAATGAAATATTATTATTATGGTTTGTATGTTAGTTGTTATGATCATTACTAATATGGTTATTAAATTTATCTATAGTTAGTATTGTATCAATATGGTTATTATGGATACTTATTATAATGTGTATGATCTCATAAATATAAATATTTTAGACTTTAACAAACATGTTTTTTAGTTTATGTTTTTAAAAAATTTCAAATATTTTGTCCAAACCAAACGTGTTTGTAATTTATATTTTTCTAAAAATAAACAAAAATCAGTTTATAAAATTTTTGTAAACATACACAAAAAACGTAAACGTTACCAAACGCTATCTAACTATTGCAATTTAGTCCAAAACTAATAGACGATTTACAACATATAGTTAAATTAGAGGGGATGAAGTGTTCTGAGCTAAGGAGGTAAACCGAATTTTGTCCAAATTTAAATAAGGACACTATAGTAATTTTGTTATCAAAATTTATCAAAGCATGATTCCCCAAGCGACTTTAATGATTGAACGTCACGCGCTGTTAAAGAAAGGGGTTATGCATATATTTCTAGACTATAGAAAAGTTATGTATTTTTGAGGCAAATCAATGAGGGGTTGTGTATATATTTCTAGACTATAGGGAAGTTATGTATTTTTTAGACATGCAAAAAACAATTCTCAGCAACCGATTGATGTAGGCATTTGTCAACCTCAACTACGTCACATGTCTGATGTAAGGAATCAAATTGCTAGCTAAATTTGGGAATCTGTCAGAAACAATTGATATATTGTTTATGCTTATAATAGATTGTGGAAGATGTTTTTTATGATTTGTGAAAGAAATGAAATATTATTATTATGGTTTGTATGTTAGTTGTTATGATCATTACTAATATGGTTATTAAATTTATCTATAGTTAGTATTGTATCAATATGGTTATTATGGATACTTATTATAATGTGTATGATCTCATAAATATAAATATTTTAGATTTTAACAAACATGTTTTTTAGTTTCTGTTTTTAAAAAATTTCAAATATTTTGTCCAAACCAAACGTGTTTGTAATTTATATTTTTCTAAAAATAAACAAAAATCAGTTTATAAAATTTTTGTAAACATACACAAAAAACGTAAACGTTACCAAACGCTATCTAACTATTGCAATTTAGTCCAAAACTAATAGAAGATTTACAACATATAGTTAAATTAGAGGGGATAAAGTGTTCTGAGCTAAGGAGGTAAACCGAATTTTGTCCAAATTTAAATAAGGGTACTATAGTAATTTTGTTATCAAAATTTATCAAAGCATAATTCCCCAAGCGACTTTAATGATTGAACGTCACGCGCTGTTAAAGAAAGGGGTTATGTATATATTTCTAGACTATAGAAAAGTTATGTATTTTTGAGGCAAATCAATGAGGGGTTGTGTATATATTTCTGAACTATAGGGAAGTTATGTATTTTTGAGTCAAATTACAGAGGGGTAAAATATAATTAACCCATGGAAAGTATTATTTATTATTCCTTAAAAGGCACTTGTTACCCTGACTCCTACTTTGAAAAGTGTCAATGTGTTTAATTTTAATTTTAATTTTAATTTTTTGAATTTAGTTTTTTAAAAATTAAAATTTTTTTTTGTTTTTTTTTATTTTAGCGAATATTTTTAAAAATTTAAGTAATTTTTTTACTTTTTAGATGCACCTTACTTTGATGTATCTAAAATAATAAAATATTTGTGAAAAAATATTTTAAAAAATTAATAAATATACAAAAATATGAAAATGTATTGAATTTTTATATTTTTTTTGTATTTGTTTTGGAATTTAGTGTATTTTTTAAATATTTTTTTTACAAATATTATACTTTTTAAGTGTAATTATGTTAGTGTGTCTAAAAATTAAAAAAAATACTTAAAATATTAAAAAATTTATTGAAAACATTAAAATATGAAAAATAAAAAATTGAATTTTTTGAAAACTGAAACTAAAAAAGGCTAAGTGCCTGTTTGGTGCAGCTTAAAAGCTGCTTATTTCAGCTTTCAGCTTAATTTAAGATATTTTGATGTGTTTAGTTTAGCTTATAGCTTATAGTTTATAACTTTTTGGAAGTCAGAAATCAGCTTATTCTTTGAGTGGGGCAAGAGATGCTTAATTAATAAGTTAGAAATCAGTTTATGTTCATAGTTATAAGTTATAAGCTGTTTAGGCATAAGCTATAAGCACGTTCCCATAGCTTTACCAAACAGGGCCTAAATAGTTTTAGTTTTTAAAAAGAATAATTATAAAAAAAAATCAATTATTCTTCTTATTTTTTTGTATTTCATTTGTAAAAAATCAAAAAATTATATAAAAAATTCAATTCTCAACAGAATCTGAATATCTAACATAACAGTGATTATTTGGTAATTTTAGGACTTTCCATACACCTAGCAAAAAGTATAGAATCCTACTATATTGACTAATAAAAATCAAATTGAACGTGGACTTCCAAATAATTTTTCCATGTCTAAAAAATAAAAAAATAAGCTAATCAGACAGTCAAACTGCAGTGTGAGCCCCTCCAATGAACTCAGAAGCACATCACCAAAAAAACCACGTGGAATTCTAGATTAAATTTTGTTTTTGACCACGTGCCAAATAGTTATTGGTAAAATCATGTGACAGCTCTGAAGCTGCTCACACTGGATACAAACTCATTTTTTATGCCACCAACAACCTGAAAAAAAAACACAAAAATTTCCAGGGCAACAAATAAAAAGGAGAAACAAAAAGAAAAGAATTTCTTAGACGCCTCTCTCTCCTCTGCTTTCTTTCTCTTTCCTCTTTCCTCTTTCTTTGCTTAAGCAAAGAAGAGAAGAGAGAAAAGCTTGAAGGTTTTGAAGGTGGTTTTGGTGTTTGTTTGGTGAAGATGTTGGTTGCTAACAGCTTTGATCTATGGCAAAAGGATACCTTCTTCTCAGCAGCAGAGGAGGTTCAGCAATCTGCAGATATGTATGTATATTATTGTCTCATCTTTCATTTCTTTTTCGTTTTTTTTTTTTTTGGGCTATATGTGTTCTGGGTTTGTTTGTTTTTGTTGATTTCTTCGTTCTTTTGCTAATTAATGATGTGGGTTTTCAGTTATGCTCTGTTTGGTTGGTGAGAAAGCGGAGGAAAATACTAATGGAAAATTAAGATTTTTAAAATTTGAGGGATTTCTATGAATGTCAAATTCCATGTTCTCGTTTCATATTTTAATGTCCTGGGAAATGAAGAGTTTTGGGAATTCCTTTTTTGTTGGGTTGTTTTGTTGTTGGCATTCAGTTCTTAAAATTAGAAAAAATTTCTCACCTTTTCTTTTTCCTTGTCACCCCAGAATGGAATCTGCGTATAGGAGATGGGATAGAGAGAAGAGAGAAGGGCTAAAATCGGAGGATTTGGATGAACTTTGTAGGGAGCTCCAAACTGCTCTAGGTACCGCGAAATGGCAGGTTTGTTTCTGCTTTTTTTTTCTCTGAAGATTGCAATTTTAAATAATTTTGATAGGTTATAAAAACCCAATTTCGACTTTCATGTTTAAAATCTCAAAAAATTTGGTAATTTCCATTGTTGAAGTAGAAATCTTTTGTTGTTTAGTTGGAAGAGTTCGAAAAGGCTGTGAGGCTGAGCTACCGAAATCGTACTGTTGATGTTACAATGGCGAGGCATAGACAATTTGTTGATGCCATAGAAAGCCAAATTTCTCGCGTGGAAACGGGGTTACGTGAATCTTGTAGTGAACAAGGTAAACAACCCCTTCGGTGGGTGAATTTAAATGAAGAAGAATGCAATGATTTAGCCGCTTTTCTCTCTGGCACTCTCGGAACATCACAAATTATGAAAGATGATCGTGCGAATAGCTCTTTTAAAGAGAACAATTGCACAAAAAATGAAGAGTGTCATATTAACAAAGCTGCCAACAACAAGGACATTCCATATCGTACAAAGAGATCTAAAGATGTTCTTGCTAGTAACAAGGATGCTATGTACGTCATAGATATAGAACCGACAGAAATTGTTGCAACAAGGGATGATATCAACTGTCAAGTTGATGGAGAATTGGATGCGAGGAGAACATGGAGTTCACCGGATATTGGTGCTTGGAAGGTTGTAGTTTCTAATGAAGATCAGCAAAATAATGCATTAGTATCAAACATTGAGGCCACGCCGAAAGATAAGGGGTCTAGACCATTCTTCTGGAGGCAGAGGTGTGGAGATCGTCCCGAGGCGAAGGGAAGAATATTGAGTACCTCTCAGATGAGAGGGATTAGATGGTTCAATCAGGTTGGCTTTATGATGCTTTTTTATATTAGTCTTTGTTTCTTTACAAATTACATTAGCTCTAAAGAAAGAAAGTTGTCTTGTCTAATATTTGTATAATAATTTCCTAGAAATTAATACAAGTTCACCGTTCTGCAGATCTTCGGACAGGTTGGTGGGTGTCAGAGACAAGTGCAAACCCATATGCAGTTGAAATTGAGTTCTGTCCGGTTCAAGCTTGCTTTAATGCTAACCCTTTTTCTGATTGGTATGCCCCTGATCTACTTAAACTCACAGGAACATAAGTAAACAATAGCTGGATTTGAACAAGGATGCATATATTGATTAATCTTGAAGTTTTACATTTGCTTGCTCGAAATTGTTTCCTGTTGATAAGTCAAATTATAATGAAATCATGTTGTCTTTCTATGTAGAATCTTGGTAGGATAACAAAACACATATTTTTGTGTATTTAAAGTAGGGTTCATAATTCACTTTTAAATCACATTCTTAAAATTGTGTTGCCGAAGTTATACTGACTGGTCTGCAAGAGGATTTGACAGCTCACCCTTTGTAAAGTGACATTGCATCTGTAAGTGTCTGAGGGTCAAGTAGAATGGTTATGGAGTTCTAGATTGAAAGAGATGCTTTGTGTTTCTCAGATGGTCACTATATTTTAGCAAAAATAGTGTCAAAATGTTATATTTGAGCAATGTTGCTCCAACAGTGCAAATGCTTTTCTTATTATTTTCTTGCACAATACCAAATAGAAATGTTAGATGTGGGTCCCATCATCATGAGAGATGTATAAACAAAGAGGATTGTTAAATTTTAGCTATAGCTAAACCTTGTGCCTTTTGCCATACCATTGGAGAAGCTTTTATTCCACATAATTGTGCCATTTACCATACCATTGGGTTGCATGATTGCATCCATGCCTGATTTCTTTTAAATATTCTGTTTATCTGGTAGATGATTCACATAGGGAAAATTATATTTAATTGGTCTCTTTAAGTATAAAAGAAAATTTCCTATTTTGCATTAAAATTACCTTGTATCGCCTGGTGTATATAGCAGAAATACAATTTATACCTTTAACATGCAACTCACCAATATTTTAGATATGTAGTGTTTGGTTCATTGGAATGAATGTAAATTGGAATGGAATGATCATTCCCTAGCTTCCTTGTGGAAATGGCCATTGATGATAATGAATGACAATTCCATTTGTAATGCATTTTGCGTAATTTTTGTAGTGAAGCAAACATGAATACATTTGATGTTCATATTCCTCATTTTTTGTAACAAACGAAGAATATAAATCTTTTAGGTAGTGTTTGATTCATTGAAATGAATGTGAATTGGAATGGATTAATCATTCCTTACCTTCCTTATGGACATGACCATTGCCTTAACATAATGAATGATAATTCCATTATGGTAGTGCATTTTGCAAAACTTTTTTAGTGAACCAAACATGAGAATGAGCATTTTGACGTTTATATTTCTCATTTTTCATAACACATGACATGAGGAATATAAATTTCTTAGGTAGTGTTTGGTTCACTAGAATGAATGTGGATTGGAATAAAATGATCATTCCTTAGCTTCCTTATGGAGATAACCATTCCCTTACAATAATGAATGATGATTCCATTACAAATGCATTTTACATAAATTTTTTTGGTGAACCAAATGACAATGGACATTCTGATAGAATGATCATTCCAAACATAGGATTAAGTCTTAATTATGGGTGAGCTTTGTTTGTTGGAAACTTTGCTAAAGTTTTATTTTTGTTTGTTTGCAGTGCCTTTTGTACTCTATTCAACCTGACAGCAAGATTTATTAATTGCTCCTGGGCAAGTTGAGAGGTACTTCTATATTTGTCACAACTTATTTTCATTTCATGAAAATTTGGGGGTGAAAAAAAGGACGGAGGTTGTGTCTTTACATGCTTGTTTATTTTTAGTACTTTTGACCATGTTGTTAGCAAATATGATAGGTCATTGGTCATCATGCTAGACCAAGATTAAGGTTCTTTGCTTGGATCTAAATTTCAATGTCGAATTGGCAATGTAAAAGATTAATTAATTTGATTTTTTGTGTTTCATCCTTTTTTCCTTTCCTCTTACATTGTTACAATCTGAATGGTGAAGAAATAAGATAACCTTCTCGACAATCCTCACAACCAGAAACACTTCAATACAATTTTCTCTAATTCGAGAACAATTTGAATACAGGCCTTCCATATCTTCCTCCCCTACCTCTTATTTATACTACTTATCCCACAACTGAGCTAATAACCTCTTAACAGAGAGTAACAAACTTTCTGTTACAGATTGGTACAAAAGCAAAACCCAACATAACTCTATTACAAACTATTATCAAACTAACAAATTGTCACTAAACTAACAAACTAAACCCAACTAACTGTAAATGTGGCCACCTCACTTGTCCAAGTCAATTGTTGCTTCATAGCTATGCACAAATAATTAATTTGCAATGTCTACGAACCAAGGCTTGTAACATACTTTGTCCACTTTGATCCTTCTATTTTGTTTTTCCATTAATATTAATTTTTGGTGCCATGGGATTGGGGTAGCAAAAATTATGGCACCAAAAATTTATGGGTTCTTGGTTTCTTGGCCATCTTTTATGGCCAGAGTTTCCTTCTCCTCTGGGGTGAGAAAAGCCATAACAAATTTTAGGCAGGAGCTGCCTGCTTTCTGTGATTTCAAACCATGATTAGCAGACAGTAGTTGCTACCACATGCTTGGAAAAACAAAACTTAGAATGCACATTGAATTAGAAAGGGTTTAAAATTAGTATAAATAAATCTAAGTATATGCAATATAATGACAATAGTGGAAGTAGAAGTACAAATAATGGAGAAGTGAAGATTGAAAATTTGGAGATAACAAGAAAAAAGAAAAAGAAAAGCCCAATTAGTACCCATTAATTAGGAGATAACGAGTACTGAATATTTTTGTTACTTAGACTCGATTATTAAAAAAGAAGGGTGAGGCAATAGAAATAAATATAGTTGTGAAATGGTAGGAGTAGCACTAATTGGAGATAGGCTGAAAGAGAACAAGCTAGGATGATTGGTCATGTACAAAGTGGACCTACAGATGTAACGATAAAGAAAAGTGACCGGATCACCGCAAATGGAAATGTTAGGAGCAGGGGAAGACGTAAACCAGTATGAGATGTAGTGAAAAAATGAATTTATTTAATTTAACTGAGCATATATCTCTTGACAGAACAAGATAGCAAAAAAAAATTCATGTAGTCAACTCCACTTAATTGGATACAAGGTTTAGTTTGGTTTGGTTTAGCAAGGGGTTAAATATATTAGACAAATTGGTTTAGTAGACCTTTTCCCCACTTCCTCTCTAGCCCATGTTTTTCTTTAGATTCACTCTCAAAACACAGCATGAACCATGAGAGTGCATCTATTTTTTCACAAGGAATAGTTGGGACTGCTTGGTTCCAGTTCCAGTTCCAGTATTTTGGCAACCTCTCTTAATAAAACATAAATATCAAAGGTAAGTTTCGACTTCTTTATTGTAAAACAAAGTGAACCAAAAAAAAAAGATGGAAAAGAAAAAGAGTGTGAAGCAGTCTCAGAGTGTTTAACCCAAGTATCATACGAAATGCTTGAATAGAGTAATCAACATATTAGATGCTGCTAGCCAACAAGAATTCTGTTTCTGACAATTACTTTTTCCTGCTATTGAAAACGAAAGTGCGTGGTTATAAACGGAAGCAAGAAAGAAAACTGCTTCAGAAATAATGACCAAATAATTCTTAAATTTCATACTGACACTTGATCTTGACTGCAAATAGTTATTTTTATGTACAAGCAAAGATGTAAACTGAGTTTTGATAGTCACATGTTTATTTGCAGGTAATGTAGCAGTGCTCGTATGGAAAACTGCAAAAACTGGGGATTTTTCTTATAAAAAAAAGATTCGTAGTCACCGTTCTCAAGTTCATGGATTATAATTTGCATCCGGGAAGATTGTATTTTTTATATTTTTACTCGAAATGAAAATGCATACATGTAGTCTTTGACACTATCGTGTGATTTGGTAGCTTTGACAATTTGATATGGAATGTCAAAGCTTCATATTTAAAATGTGAAAGCAAAGAGAAATTTCAATCTCAGAATGTGAAAGTCATGATTGTGCTTGGGATATCAATCCTCTGCATATTTCTTTTTGAAATTGTAAAAAGGCACATTTTGGTTTTTTGTTGAAAGAGCTGTGTAGTAGATATGAAGATTCATTGCTAATATTTTAGTGTCACATTAGAGTTTGAATATTAGCTCAACCATCCAACCTCCACATACTCACTGGGTATGGTGGTTTTGATGAATTTTTGTATACAAGCATGGGAAAATGAGGGAAAGAAAGAGATATGTTCACCAAAATGAAATTAAATCAGACATGGTTAGGGAGAATTATCAATACCCCCTTGAGGTTTAGCAAAAGTACAATTGTCCTTTCTAGTTTTGGAAATTACATTATTTTGTCTTTCGGAGTTTATTTTTTGCATACCAAAAAAAAAATAAAAGGGGTTATTTTTAACATAATCGACATAAAAATTAAAATTACTTAGATACCCTTCAATGTCAGGAAATAATTATCTTATTTGCCTACATCTCGTTCTGTTTTTTTACCCCAACTTTCGCTCTTAACCACCACCGTACTCTCCCAACCTTCACCCATCCTCTGCCATTCCTCTATCTCTCCTAACCCTGTCAATAGTCCACTCACTTCCACCCCCACCACTAGCACACCAACCATCATTGTCTACTGCCACCACCCTGCAACCATAATAGCACTATCATCATCACCATTCCTGTAACAACACCACCATGCCCCACCATTGCAACAAGATACTATGTTTTCCTTTCTAACAGTCACTACACAACCCTCTTTATCCCTCATAGCAATCACCCTACAACCACAAAATCAAAAACAAAATGTAAATAGAGAGGGAGAGAAGAGAGAGAGAGATGCATCACCAAAATAATTGTAACCTCCCCACCTTCAGGGAAAACCACAACCCTCGTAATAATTGAAATAACCCAATTCATCCCCCCATCCCCTCCTTGAGTTGCCTACTTGGATAACATCCCATGTTCTATATAAACAACTTCATTCATTGTTGACAAAAATAAAATTTTGAATCTCTCATTGGTCAAAACCATGAGACATTCAATTAACTATAAAAGAAAATTTCATGATTTGAGGGATATTTGTGCAAAGCATGTGGTGTGTTGTGGCTTAAAAATTAGTCCTTTGTGCATGATAACTTTAAACTTAGTCTTTAAGAAAATAGTATAATTTTTTACTAAATCCAACCTGTCCAATATGATAGACTCGTCTATCAAAAATCTAGAATAGGATAAATAAAAATTATTTTTGTCTCGTCTAAACTAATTCATAGTAATCGGACAAATGAGTAGACGTAACAAGATAAATTATGAGAAATGCTATAGCCAGTTTAAAATAAATTTTATTTTTTAAACTTTGTCCAAATTTGTATTTCTTTATGTGCATAATACATGAAAAAAAGCTAAATAGGAAATTTTAGACTCTTGAACATGATCCATCCCCTGTGGATATTTAAAGAATATCATCTACCCTACCCAATGGATAAGAAAAAGAGGGGAAAACCCATGTATTTGGGTTGGGTCTCCATGGATACCCACAGGGTAGGTTATCCATTGCCATCCCTAATACCCATCTAATAATCATATCATGTCCTATAAATGTGGAGGTCCAATCAAGTCTCCTGCAATATAAGATACTAAAAGCATAGACTAAAAGTTCAAATAGTTATTTTTAATAAGGTTTTTAACAAATTTTTTTTTAATTATATTTACACCTTTATACATTTTCATGGGACTTTTATGATGAAGTTGTCCACTAGAAAAGGAACCTCATCACAAAAAAAGTTTGCATGCGCACAGAGAGACAAATAAATTTCATGATGAACAAGTTATATACATTACTTGCATTCACAAAGTGTAAATATCACTTTGTTTAAAATAAAAAAATAAAAAAATATAGATATCAAAATTTAATGTGTGATATTTTGCTTTCTTGAGGTTTTTTATTCTCTTCTGTTTTGGTGTGAAATGCTTGAAATTATGAGACAATGTGCTCGAAATTAAAATTCAACCACATCGTATTTTAATAACTCACTGAGTTGTAATTTATTGAATTTAATTTGAAATTCAACCACATTGTATTTGTAAATCAAGAATTGTGATTTTTATTGTTGTTATTATAGCAAAAGGATAATAATGAGAATGCCAAGGACAAAATAATAGTATAAACATTAGCACATTGCTCCTTACTCTATATTTTGTTGTCTTATTTCTCTAACTCTTTCAATTGTAAGAATTACCTTGTGAGAAACAAAAAGGTTCTCTTCTTGTTATGTATAAAGAAATGATGTCAATCTTGAAAATTTTGAAATTGTTGTCATTTTCTAGAAACAAAAATAGTTTTCAAAAGAATTTTTGTTTGGGCATCGCAGTTGGCAAAACCAATTAATTTGGAGGTGTTGCTAGACCTTTATAGGCCTATTACTGGACCCACCTCGATGATCTGAACCATTTATAGGGCTCATCGAGAAGCTTATCTTTACAAAAATATTATATTGATATGAATATAATACATGGATTATTAGATTACATTTGTCTTCAAAATAATAAATGATCTATAATCAAAGTTATAATTGTCATCCATTTTTATATGACAAATGTGATCCTAAGTATGTGATTATAGTTGTCCAAACAATCTATTTTTTATAATGGTGATTTTCTTGATGGACCCTTCGATTTAAACGGTTTAGATAATTGAAATAGGTTTCTGGTGGGTTCATAGAGGTCCAACAACACCTCTACCGCTGTGGCTTTCTTCTATCCTAAATTGGATGGTATGAGAGTAAATTGAGAAAAATTATAGATGTTAAGGGCCAAAATGAGAAAAAATACTTTAAGGTCAAAGTAAAAAAATTGTGAAACTTAAGAGGATAAAGTGTAATTTATCCATCTTTATGCAATGTGGCAACCCGCGTAGCATCCCATGACATTTTCCATCCAAAATTGGACGAAAGTTTATTTTGAGAGTAAATTAGAAAAAATTACACATGTTAAAAGGTCAAAGTGGTAAAAAAATATTTTAAGAGTGAAAGTTGAAAACTGTGAAATTTAAAGAGAGCAAAGTGTAATTTATCTTTTTAATATTGTGAATTGTTGCAATTTTTGTAATAAATTAGTAGGTGACGTGTGATACACGGGAACTGATTTTTAAAATGAAAAATTAATTTTGAGTCCTAATATTTTACGTTAGAAAATTTTAATAATTGAAAATTAAATACAAACTAATTTGCTAATGGTTGATAAAAAAAAAAATTTCATTGTATGTGTAATCCTATGTAAAAGGCTTGTAAAAACAAAATTTTTCAAAGTTTTAAAAAAAATGGTATATTCTCAACCTAAAATTAAATCTTCATTTGTGTTAATCAAATTTATCAAAACACATGAATTTCACTTGTATCAAAATATATATTTAAAAAAAAATGAAAAATTCTATAGTATACAAATTATGACTTAGTTATAACTCATGGTGTATTATTTTGGTTATTAATAAAAAAAATTCTTGGCTAATTTCTTATATATTTTTTTATTATACCTGAAGTGGTATACCAGGTCTTTAATTATACTTCAAGTGGTGTTTGATTATAATCTATTATGATACTTTGATATGACAATATTTAAGTTACATGAAAAAAAGAGCTTAAGGCCTCGTTTGGGAACAGGCTTTTTTAGTAATTTTTTGGCTTTTTGACTAAAATGTGATGTAAAAAAAACTAATATGTTTGAGATGACTTTTTGACTTTTTACGAAAAGATATACAAAAAATAGAGAGAAAAATGAATCTTTGATTTTTTGGTATGTGTTGTTGACTTTTTGATTTTTTTAGTAACTTTTTAACTTTTTGGCTAAAAAAGCCACTTGCCAAACGAGGCCTAAGGTTAGTTGACTCAAAGGTAAGATTTATTTTTATAATAGTAAGATCATAAGAGTTATTCACATTAATGCATAAAAAATTACAAATTTAAATCATAAAACAGTGCCCTCAAAGGGAATCAGACACAAAATTTCTGTAACCTTAATAATTCCAGTTCTCAAAGGGGTTTGATTAATTATGTGACATACCGTAATAACTGCAATTTTTTTTATTCCAACCAAATTATTTTTGCATATATTTTCTAACAGAGCTCTAAGTTGCATTATCAGTAATACTGTAAATTCAAAATTTTTATTTAAAAATTATTCAAGAAACATCAATAGGTGCCTTAAATATAAACAATCATTTTCGATGAATTATTATTTTTTAAAATAATACTCCACACTGCTTATCATTTAACATTTGTAAATTTATCTTCTAAAAACTAAACAAAAAAGTATTGAATTCTATTATTTTAATCAATCAATATTAAATTAGACGCTACACGTGTATGTAAATCACTTTTAGAAATATGATATCCGACATAAAATCACAATAGAATTAATTTTAATTAATTTAATCATATTTTATATTATGATATGTGTTACAAAAGAATAATATTAATTTTAGTTTAAAATAAAATAAAATTTAAATTATTTATTTTGATAATCTTAATCTTATCGTTCTATAAAAGTGATATTTGAATACTTATATATAATAAATTTAGTTAAATTGTTTGTTATTTTTGATAATTTTAGTTCTATAGTGTTATAAAGGTGTAATTATCCTACAATGATTTACACTACAACAAAATACAGAATTGGCGACCAAAAAATGAAATTTCGTCGCTGAAAGTGGATGAAATGGGGCGACTAAAAATTTAGTCGCCAAAGGTGTTTTTTCTTGTAGTGTTATATGATATAAATTAAATTATAAGATATAAAATGAACACTCATTTTGATATTAAAAATAATAATTAGAAAGAGAATTAGTAATATAAAATTAAAAGTGATTCTAATTATTTATTTTTATTTTTATATTTATTTGGATAATAAAAAAATATGTAGAAATAGAAGTACACAAAATTTATTTAAGAGGTTAAATATAAATATATTATGATTGAATTAACAAGAAAATACATAAATTAATTATGTAGAGTATTGATTTTTTCTTTAATATTCTTTTTGAATTATTCATATATATTGCATATAGGTATATAAAATTTAAATT